GATTCTAGCCACGTGTAACTTTGCGGATGTGCGGCAGCATTGATCTATGGCATGTGGTACCGTGACTGGGAGAGGAGCTAAGCGAATGTAAAACCTTGCCAGAAGCTCCGGCATTTCTAAGAGATTCCAGTACAAGTTTTTTAACATACTCAAAGTAACTAAAAAACTCTCTCTGAAGTCTGAACTTGCTCAGTCGATGTAAAAAGAAAGCTGAAGATGAAAAGAAATGAAGTAAAAAAAGAAACTTGAAAATAACCATACATCATTACCATGAATTATAATTCTTGATTCCTGTCTTTGTCATGTTACCTGACTATGTGTACTGTGTAGTGCATGTCTGTCTGTGTAATGAAATTAAATAGAATGTGATTGGTTTCTTAGTCGAGTGAAATTAGATAAAAAAAAATGTGATCGAATGTAATTTGTTGACGATTTCTTAACACTGCTAGTCTGATACTGGTGCTGAGGCTGAATGCTGATAATGATATTTAGAGTCAGTGCATCAAAATTATGAAATTTTTACAAAATCCATGCTATGAAAAAATACTCTGTGCCAAGCCTAAAATAGCTCCGTAAAAAAAGTATAGAGCTCTTTTTTTAATACAAAATCAAAAAGAGCTCTCGTAAAAAAAAGTAATTTTTAGGCTGGTGCCTTTGTGTATACGTGGCTATGTGACCGAGTTGTGTATGTACACCGATAAGGCGGTCGCTCGTTCTCTCGGCTCGCTGGTGTTGTTAATCCTAAAGTTATAAACGTTTCCAGTCCTGTCATAACAATAGTTACTGTTATAGACTATAAGATATGAAGTAACAAAACTTACACCGGGGCAGCATTGATTGATGTCTGTATTTACTCGTGTATAACTTTAAGTCATTATGCATGTTGTAAGTCCCACCCAAGGATTGTGCCTGAAAAGTTGCTGTACAATCATGGTGCCACCAGGGCCTAGCCAGAGGTAATTTTTGTAGGAGCAAATGTTGTGAGTTAGAAAACAAGGAGCAAGCACGCAATAGGCAATGGGTATGGAGCCCGTTAAGGGCCCCAGACAGAAATTTGTTGAGGAAGCATTTGCCCTATGCCTAATGCGTTGCGACGACCTGGGACAGCTAGCTCGTCTATAAGTCGCAACCCCTGATTTTTTTTATTTGTTGTGTACAAAAAACGTGCAGGGTTATACACGAGTAATACGGTTATTTGTCAATATCAGGGCAGTGCTCATTCATAAGTTATCAAATAAATAACTTATTATTATACGAATATTATTCATGACATCCAAGCATAGATAATACCAATGTTTGCTAACACATAAGGACCGACGCCTACCGCCTGAGCACTACC